GCTTTCACTGCTTGTACTCCTAAAAACAGAAAGATACAACTGTTGTTCAAAAAAACTAAGATTTCTGTTGTAGCGCTTGACCTTGTATGAGCCAACCAGGAGTTTTAATTGTAAGCAAAAGTTATTAATTTTATAATGCAGATTTGCCTTTGTACTTGAACACTGGCAAGAAAGCCTGTCTTTGTTCTAACTATGTGTTCAGATCAGCACCAATACATGCATTGCGTGGCAGACCTCAGATCAGCACCAATACACGCATTGCATGGCGGACCTCAGATCAGCACCAATACACGCATTGCATGGCAGAGCTCAGATCAGCACTATTACACGGTGATCCTCAGACCAGCATCAATACATGGTAGACCTCAAACCACCACCAAATTGCAGACCTCAGACCACCAACGCATGGGAGACCTCAAACAACCACCAAATTGCAGACCTCAGACCACCTCTAACACATGGCAGACCTCAGAGCACCACTAATTCCCTGCAGACCAGCTCCAATTTACACACTTCAGTCTGCATATCAGCTAAAAACACTGTATGATTGATACATTTACAATTTGTCATGCTTGAAAGAAAAAGAAAACTATTGTAGAGGCAGTCTTCCCTAACTACATGGATCAAGACATATTAGGCACACACGCAGACCCTCACAAATGCAGAGCAGTATCATCAGCCACAAATAGCATTTATTTTATTCTTATCCTACAGATTAGTGCAGAATTAAAAGCAAAGCTATTTGTGGCTGATGATCATGCTGTGCATTTGTGAGGGTCTGCGTGTGTGCAGGTATGAGGACTAAGATTTGTGCAGGTGAACGGTATGCATGTGGCACTCGCAGGAATATTCCTGGCGATCCTTCAGCACCTTTTACTTTTTTGTACTGTCAGCCAGCGAAATCGGCTGTGAAATCCACATGTCGGGCATGGCGAGTGAGAAAGCCCACTCCTGTCTGACGGACCGGCAGATGAGCTATCTTTCTAGGCAGGAGCTGGGGTAGACCTATTTGAAGGCATCCTCAGCGCACCTCTGCGCTCCTATAACATCAGGGATGTGGGTGGACCAGGCATGTAATTGACAGCCAGCTCGAGGGAGCTGTCAATTACATGTAAACTAAAGAAAGAGATCGCGTGCCAGATGCCAAGACCCCTGGGTTAGACCCTTTGTCAAGTTTTTATTGTGGTCTCTATCTTCCGGGGACCATTGTTACCAAGTTATAAAGTGAGGAGAAATCCAAAACATTTTGGAGAAAAAAGGTGAAAAGTTCTCCACTGGGAACACTTGTACCTGTGACAACTCTGTAAGTTGGGAATTCTGTTCACTTTGGAGAGAATTCCACTCATTTCTATTTTCGCCTTCAGGAGAGGAAGTGGAAGATAATCTCCTTAGGGGGAGACAGCAAGAAATAGCCTAATAGGGGTTAATATTTTGCAACTTTATCCAAAAGTAAAAAAAACACTACTTTTATAATACAAACAGAGTTTCTGGTAGTACTATTTTTTTTTCAATTCCCAGTGCCAAGTACGGCCAGCCAAACAATATGGTTACTGCTAAGGCCTATTGTACCCTCTGTGACAGTGTACTACATACATTGTTTCATTATTGCTCACGTCAGTCAAAGACATCAAAATGTAATTGCAAAAGTTCAGAAGGATATTGGGACACAGCAAATCACAAGTGCAAAAACTGCAGAAGTAAATGCTGAAATCCATTGTAAGCACACAGTGAAATACAATGAGTGTAGCACTACAAAACAAAATAGATACAAAGTTCAGAAGGCAACACATTATTTTTTTATCAAAGGGTGTATAATTACAGATACATATTTAAAGCTATTTTTTGGGGGGGATAAAGCTTGGTGTCTGTAGTTGGCCTAAGAAACATGTTAAAACTACACATTAAAAATTATATGAAAAGTGTCTTCTAAGCACACTGTGGAAAAACACAGTGGAAAACAGCATGCCTACTATGACTGCCAAACAAGTGCAGCAAAATACCAAGCAGACAACACAATCTATTTTTCCTATATACACTATTATCTAAATATAGATGCATATCTTAAAATATCTAATTATATTATGTCTTTTGGATAAGGCATACTGCACTGCAGTAAGCCTGAGAAATACACAGAAGTTAAAAGTGCAAAATGGAGAACAATTAAGTAAATAAATGACCACAATTGTCAAAATGCAGTGTCAAAAAACACAGTCAAATTTTGCGGCATAACAACTACAGTAAAAAGCAAAAAAAAAACGTTTTTCAACTATAACTTATATTTTAGTATGTTTATGTAGCTATATCTAATATGTATGTATTTTCATTTTGTTATTGTGTATGCAGCCTGCTGCATTGCCATTTGAAATTACCTGAGAAACATGCAGCAATACCTATTTGAGAATAGGGACTGAGGATAAAACATAAAATGATTAATATACATAGGTATTATGCACCATGGTCAAATAGAACATTTTTAAGAAAACTTTAATTTCTTCTAAACAGGAGCTCATTATTTTGCAAACTGGGAATGAAAGACATGTATGTAGATTGATGATCTACGCTTGATGCACACTCTTCTAACTAGGCACTTGGAGTACAGATGACAGACATGTTGACATGTTGAGACTGCACAAGAATGTCAGCTTTTCTGTCATATCATACAAGAAACAGACAAGTATTATTAGTCTACTATACAAATGAGAATCAAATTGCTGCATGCCATATGCATACTTAAAACAATGCTGAGCACTTAGTCCCCATTCACACCTGAGCATTTTGTGGACATGCAACAAATGCATACAAAAATGCACATTTTGATGCACGTTCATAAAACGTCAATGCAAATTGCGCTTGTTGTACCAAACGCTGTCGGTAAGATGCATGGTTTCCCCCCACATTTGCATGTGTTAAGACATGCACAAACATGGAGGAAAAAACTGTGGAATGCATATCACAGATTTTGCTATATGCACTATTTTTCTGCAGTTGTTGCACATGCAGGAACCCACTGAAATCAATGGGGGCACATGGCATACACAGAAAATTAATGCATAGTAATGCATGCAAATGAAACGCATGTTCCTGCTATGCTCAGATGTGAATGGGGCCGTGGGCCTTGTGCAGATGGGCAAAAGTCTCCACTGATCTATGAAAAGTGTTGGATCACTTTTCAGTGGGTGGTGGAGCAGCAGTTGCCCCTTATCTTCACTTTGCCATCTATTCTAAGCACTAGAAGATACCCATGTGGAGTCCTAAGTATGAATCTACTCCAAAGAGACAATTAGATAGGTAAGAAATCTTTATTTAAATTATTATTTTTAGTTATGCTGTTTGAATCGGAACAAATAACAAACATATAGTGGGAGTTTTTCAAATCTGACAGACAATTTGCAAAGGTGGAAATACATTTTCAGCTTGTTTTGTATAAAGAGTCACATTAGTGTAATGTTCTGTTCTCTGCATTCCATAATTATAACAGATTATTTTCTAAAGTGTTTTGTGGCTTTTGATGCTACATTTCCAGCTGCATTTATTTTAGTTGCTCTTGCACATTAGCATTGCTGTATCTGTGCTGTCATGACACAGTCCAGTGTGGCGCAGGGTTCGCATCAGAATTCATTATTTTCTTTTTGAACATAATGTGTACTTTCTGTTTATACACACAAACACACACTCTCTCTCTCTCTCCCTCTCTCTTTCTTTCTTTCGTTTGTTCTCTTTTTTTTCCTTCTTCTACACTCTCATTACTTCTCTCTCCTTTGTTCGCTGTCTCTCTCTCCCTGTCACCGTCTTTCTTTTTTTCGGTCTCTTTTTTTTCTTTCTTGTACCCTCTCTCTATATATATCTCTTCCACTCTCTACTGCCCTCTATCTTTAGTTCCCTTTCTCTCATGTCCTATGTCTCATTCCCTGTATCGCTTGTGCCCTTGGCCTTATTTGTTGTCCCTCACTTTCTCTTTTTCTCCCCAGTTCTCTCATTGATGATTTGGTAACTTTTTGTTGCACTGGACCTTTAAAAGTGTAACACCAGCATTATAAAATGTTATTTTTCAACTTCCTTTAACAAACCAAGCTGTCCAATGAACAGTGGCAGACAGAGGTTTTAGACAAACTATTTAACACTGACAAGGATGCTTACATTGGTTAGTTTTTATTCATATATGAAAAACCTTTATCTCAAAAGGAAAAAAGAGACTGTTGCTATAACTGCTAAAGTGTTAGCTGGGTGGCTCCATTACTCCTCTTTAGAGTATATCAACCCTAAAGCTGGCCATACACCTTACAACCATCGCAAGACTTTTGATCTGCCCATCTTAAACAGGCAGACCGTACTTGCAATCATCGCAAGCCTGCCCCGCTGAGGGGTGGGCTTCCGATGACTGCAATGCTGAATGGGCAGGGTGCGCTTGCGCACACCGGCCCATGCGGCATTTGTCTTACGAGCAGGCCACAAACCCGCCGACAATTGTATGATTCTCAGCGGGTTTTCGAGCCTGCTCGTAAGACAAAAGACGTGCGACCGTACAGTAGAAACGGTTGCACCCCTTCCATACACCTGCCGATTATCGTACGATCGCGGGATTTCCCGCGATTATCGTACGATAATCGGCAGGTGTATGGGCACCTTAAGAAAGGAAGTGTGTTACTGGCTGGTTCACCAGGTGAAAATAAAGCAAACAAGACTGAGAAAAAAGAAAACTAATAAACCACATTTAAGGATTAGTAAGCTGCAATATATTGCTTTTTTGGTTTTGGGTTTAAATACACTGTAATTATAAACATAAATGTAAAAAAAAAGTTTGCAGTTCTTACTACCAGATGGTGAGTATATCTACCTTCACAAAGTAAGAAAAGGATGGGGTATGGGATTGGTGCAAGACCTTGCCTTCCCTTCCCCCAACAACATTGCAACCTAAATCACATACTAGTCCAATTTATACTGCTGACCTGCTCAGGGACAAAAAGGTGTTACCTCTCTCTCATTGTGGTTTTCAATTATAGGGTCCCCATCTTTAGCTTTGCACATGCAACTGGGGACAACCATTATTCACAATGGCCAGCCCTAGTACCCACGCCTGAATTCCTACATGAGAGGAACATGGAAGAGGCAAAACACTATGCCAGCCCTAGGCAGGATGATGAGTATGAACTGGACTTTCCACATGTCTGGTATGTGACATAATTTTCAAAGCTGCTGCAAAGGACAGAAGGAAAATAGTGTGGGAACTTCTTTTAAAAGTTCCCCTTTCCCGATAAGAGGAATGCTGCAATTTATTTCCACCAGAGGGCTTTTTGTTTAGCCCATCTAACTTCCAGTATATGAGTGTTGGATGCAGCCAAGCTCTGTTTCGTTTGCTTTGCTAAGCTCCTTTTTGTGTTGAGCCATGTGCTGTTTTTTTTACATGTGACAATAAAAATGTTTAGGATATGATAAGAGTTTTTTACCAAGCATTTCTTTTTACTATTTGTGGTTTGGAAGTATAATCACAAAAACTTTATATTTCCCTCTTCTAGCACAGCTTAATATGTAGGGTATGTCTCACGCCTAAATGCTACAGCCCTTTTCATTGTGGTAAGAGGAGTGAGCTACTATACGGTTTGCATCATACATACATCAAACTCAGTAATGTCATACCTGACATTCAAATAAATCAGCTCATTATATATCAGTTAGGAAAAAAAAGTCTAAGTCCATATATGCATGTCCTAAGCAAAAGCTTAATTGTTATAGAGTTTAACAAAACCAAGTCATTCCAGGTCAATCAACTACATTTGTATAAAATGAATTTATCATCATGACAAGTAATAGAGAGTCTCCTTACTGTTATGATTAAATAAAATTATATCAACCTCTTGGCCTTACAGTATTTTAAGAGTGTAGCAAAAATACAATAATGGGGCTTTATCTCAAAATGGCAGTAGACTGTTTTTTTGTTTGTTTGTTCATAGTTCTTTTTATTGTGAGTGGATATACATAAAATATGGCATATCCACCTTTTGCTGGTGTTAAAATAAAATTACTCAAGTATCTATGTTCTTGTTCATTTATATAACCAATGTATGAGAATATTCTTTTTGACAGCCAAAATACAGTAGAGTTCCCATTGTGATAGGGGTGTTAGCGAAGTCTGTGACAATTCAGATAGGGAATGAAAGAGGCATAGGGCCGGGGAGCAATCTCTAGGTATCCCTGATAGTGTCAACATATATTCTAGCGAAAGACATTCAGAGATCCAGTCGGCCTTTACACAGAGTATGCTCTATGTACAATTTTAAATTGCATTTCTCGCCATTGTTCGTTAGAAATGGAAGCAGTTAGACGCTTCCAACCATCAAGTAGGAGCTGGTGGGTGTCTGCCGACGTGAGTTGTAACAAAGGCGCCCATTTGATAGCATATGTGGGTATAGATGAATCTGAGTCGTGATAGGTAAGGCTAAGGCATTGGTACAGTGAAGGAAGAGACATTTTTGTGGGTGGGGAAGCTAGGAGACGGAGGAAAGGTACATCAGTCCCATCTGACTTTGAAGAGGGTAAGTGGGTGGTTATAAAATGTTTGATCTGGGCATATTGGAGAAAGTGTTTAGGCGATAGGTGGTAAGTGTTTGAAAGTTCAGCAAATTCCCTGCAGAGCCCTCGGTAATAGATCAAATTGCCTAGCGTCTGTATGCCTTTGGAGTGCCAGTGTCTGAAGGTTTGAGACGCAAGTCCTATGGCAAATGCAGAAGCAGAAACCAGGGGCATGAGTGGGGATAGTGTGCCCTTAAGACCGTAGATTTTCCTAACTTCTCTCCATGTTATAATGGTGTCCTGCAGCAAGGTGTTTTGTTTAATATGACACGGCAATGAGTGGAGAGGGGTATGTAAGACCACAGGTGTACTAAGTGCTTTTCCAGGAAAGTGTTAGAGTAATGTTCAGAACCATTCAGCCAATCTCTGGCGTGTCTTAGAATGCATGCCAAGTTATAAAGGCGGATATTAGGAATGTTTGTCCCCAAGCTTGCCCGAGGGAGCTGAAGTTTTGAGAGCGCAATCCGCGGCTTCCCTCTCCAAATAAACCTGGTGAATGCCTGATTAAGCAGGTGTACATCCTTATGTCTGAGTAATAAGGGGACTGTTTGAAGAGGATATAAGAGCCTAGCAAAACTCACCATGCGTATCAAATGACACCTACCTAGTACAGACAAGGGGAGATGCTGCCAAGCAGCAAGTTCCTGTATAATGCGTTTGATGATGGGGGAATAGTTCAGAGCGTAAAGGTCTGTGGCCGATTTAGTCTGTATATCCCTAGATATTTTACAGAGTTGTATGTGAAGAGGGTAGTTGGACAACCAAGGTAAGTCGTTCCCTTTGAGAGTGGGATTTAAGTATAGAAGCTCGCTTTTATCTATGTTAATTTGGAGACCAGAGAACTTGCCAAATGACAGCAATAGCCCTGCGAATATTGGTAACCGCTGATCTTCCAGATACAAAACCTGACTGAGCAGGGGAAATAAGTTTGGGCAAAATACTTGCCAGTCTATCTACCATGATTTTAGATAAGTATTTGGCGTCCTGGTTTAACAAAGATATAGGGCGGAAGGATCCTGGCTGTAGGAGGTCCTTATTTTTTTTAGGTAGTAGTCTAATATATGCATTATTAAATGTAAGGATATTGATGGTCTCATATGATGCGATTGTATAGGGTAAGGAGAGCAGGTGAGATATCATCCATCAGTAATTTATAGAATTCTGTGGACAACCCATCAGGACCAGGTGCTTTTGCTCTTTTAGAGGACTTCATAACTCTTTCTAATTCTTGGGTAGTCACTTCCTCATTGAGGAAGAGCAAATCAGTGTCATACAGCTAGGGTAGATCAATAGATTTCAGGTATTGGGATCCACCTAGTGAGTCAACCTGTTGAGGTCTGTACAATTTTTGATAGTAAGAAGAGAAAGTTTTAGAGATGTTATCCGAATCTGTGTGTATCTGCCCCTCGCTGTCAGCCAGTTGAGTGATATGAGAAGTCTTATATGGACCCCGAGCAAGTGCTGCCATGAGCTTCCCAGGCTTATTGCCGAATTTAAACAAATCCACTCCTTTGAGTGATCTGATGTGGGATTCATATTGTTGTATCCAGTGGTCACAGGTTTTTTTGGCCATCATCCAGAAGGATCTGTTATCTGGCGTTGGGTCTAATTTAAAGGTAGTGTAAGCCTGTCTAACATTCCTACAAGCAGATCTATACCTTTGCATAGTCAATTTTTTGCGAGATGATGAGTATGCCAGGATCCTACCGCGTAACACAGCTTTAGCCGCTTCCCAATAAAGAAATGGGTCTTCCTTATGAGCAGAATTACAGGACTCATATTCCAACCACCAAAGTTTTACATTTTCTTGAAAGGTGTCGTCATTTAGTATGGAATGTCTAATCCAGAGATACCCAGTGACACAGGGGAATGGTCTGAGATGACCATGTCTTCAATTTGCACATGGGTGATTTTTGCAAGGAGGCTCGGAGCTATGAGGATAACGTCTTTGCGGGACATGGCATCATGCGGGTGAGAGAAGTTGGTATAATCCCTTTCCAAGGGATGTGAGTGTCGCCATGCATCTTCCAGTCCACTACATTGAATAAAATGGGCAAAGTGGTCATCTCTGGTTTTCGTGTGAGTCGTTGTCTGATGTGGGGTGCCCGAGTGATCTTCTAAAGCAGATGCAGAGGGGAGATGATTCTCCTGCAAAAGGGCTACGTCTGCTTTTAATTTTCTCAGGTGCCTCAGAATCCGGTTGCGTTTATTTGGTTACCTGAGCCCTTTCACGTTCCAGTTTATCAACCTCAGGGGGGGTCCCATCTAGTTGGAGTAAGATGTAGATTGCGTGAGGTATCTCGTGAAAAGAAAGAAGCGTAAGTCGCCATCCCTGAGCTGCAACTACGCCATTTGTTCACAGTCTCGACCCAAGTGGGTTGGTGCAGTGACGAAAGTTGAAGTGTGATCCGTTGAGGGTATACGGGAGTGCCCCGTGAACTAACTCCCTTTTGGTAGGTGTTTGAAATTGAAAAAAAACTATAATAATAGAAAAAAAGCTGCAAGCAATAATAGAAAAATGAGCAGTTGAACAGGAAAACAGTAGCTCGATCAAGTGTAACATCTAGTAAGTCAATACAGGAATGTGACTCCCTTTTTTCCCTATAGAGCGCGTTGTGTCTTCTGCCAATGAGCATCCACAAAACAGTTGGAGTGGTTTCCCAATGTGGAAAATATGTCTTAAGCATCATTCAAAGAGGGGGGAGCTCCAACAGGTATAGTAGTAAGAATTACTATAGTAGAACACAGGACATAGCAGAACATAATGTGTCCCTTGTGAGCCTTCCCAACGTAAGGAACAGCTTGGGTGACATAACTTATGTCAAAGTAACTTATGGGCACAGTATCACCCTAGCATTGGATATAATAGAGCGCTCAGGCTTTTTCTTTCTTGGTGGGCCCTTGGTAGGAGAGGAATCATCGTAAGTGCGGGTTTCATGCAATGATTTGGCATATCTTAATGCATCCTCCGCGGACGTGAAGGTCTGAGTGTCACCGTTAGGGAGCGTGACACGTAGGATCGCAGGGTATGCCAGGGTAAATTTAATGCGCCTGTCAACAAGGATGCGGCATGTGTCTACGAATGCCTTTCTCTGTTTAGACACCTGAGCCGAATAATCAGCGAACATGAGGAGCTTATGTCCACCCACCATTAAGTTGCGCTGGGACCTATAATTATGTAGAAGTGCATTCCTATCCGCAAAATCTAAGTAGCGAACGATCACTGGTCTATTCTGGGGATTCGTTTTGGGCGGGCCAATCCTATGGGCTCTTTCCACTCTGCATGGAGAATTGAAGCCCAATGCCTTGGGGATGATGTGAGAGCAGAAGTGTGTCAGCTCTGCCGGTGGTACGGATTCAGGTAGGCCGATAATGCGGAGGTTGTTTCTGCGTATTCTATTTTCCAGGTCTTTGACTGTAGTTGCTTAGCTGTGTCTCCCTGGGCGGACGTGTATTCATGTGTCCGATCCTCTAGCGCACTGATCCTGTTCTCAGCGGTCTGGATGCGGCTCTCATGGGCCTCCAGGGTGAGTGACAGGTGGCTCATATGTTGCTGCATAGAGTCCGCCATAATTGCGGCCAGATCCGACTTTAAATGTGAGGCTACCGCAGCAGCCAGATGTTGGTAGTCTATGTTAGCCTCTGGTGGTGGGGGTGGGGGGGGGATCCGAGGGTGACTCACCCATATGTTCTGTCAGATTAGTTTGATCAAGTGCCTCGAGTGCCTCCCGATCGGCCATCTTGGATGTCTCCCGCGGCTGAGGTGATTCTGATGTCAGCGTTCTTCTAGCCGTTTGTGAGCGGGACAGATATTTTTCCATCACCCGCTGTAAGTCTCGGAGAGCTGATGTCTCCGTGACAGGCGGGAGATGGCTGATTTGTCCTGTGTTCCGATGTGTTCGTGCCGGAGCTGAGCCGCACACCACTACTCCATAGGACGCCGGAACCGGAAGTCA